TGTATTTGCTATTGTTTCACAGATGAGAGTGATTCCATATATATATTAAAAAAAAGGTGATGGAGATACATATGAAACAAGAAATGGTTTGACAAATAGCGGAATGAATTCATAGAACATAAAAGGACCTATTTAAAGCTGATTGGTCATAGCATGATTGGGTTCAGTAGTGACCAAGTACACACACCTCAGTTAGTTTGAGATTTCTAACATGCATCAAGTAGTAGCTCAACCTTGAGAAACAAGAGTCACTACTATGCTATGGTAAATTTAAGCCTAAGACTAGTTTAAAAATCGGAGGAAAACAAGGACACGCCTCTTGCGGCATGGTGTAGTAATCAGATGGAGTGCTATATATAGCAAGAGAGCAAGGCATGATGGAGATTTTGGTAAATGCAGCCTGCCAGTATTTACGAAAAGTAGAACTGTTTGCTTGTAAAATCTCATGTCATTTGGGATTTCCATCTTCATAACATTCCCGTGAATTTCATTAAGTGGTATTTTGGAGTGGGTCCTTTTGAAATGGAGATGACTGTTTACCAAAGCATTCTTTTTCATAACTTACAATGCTATGATACCCTACAGAAATAATTCTTCAAAAATAGATCCAAGTTGGCTGTCATCCTGCCTTCCCCTCCTGACTGCCGTTGAATACTTTGTGTCAGCACACAAACACAGTTTCCTCTCATGATCTGGAAGTTTGTTTTTGTAAAAAGTCCCTGATACAGTCATACTTCCTGTAATGATTTGATTTAATACAACGTCCTTACTCTTAAGATTTGATTGCAGATGGAAGAATATGGTTACATTATAGTAAATGAAAAAAAAATCATTCCTTTGAATTCCTCTCCAATCACATTCTTGGAAGTTCTTTACTTTTTCAGCAATATTAAGGGCATTGGCAATAATAACAATCATAGGAATAATAAGCTAAGAGGTCATATTCCTTAGCTCGGAATCAACAACTTCTGATGTTTTTTGAGAATGGGTACTATGTAATCAATTGTAGTAGCTCCCTTGGAGTCTAATTTTGAGTAGGTTCTACCTCTAACTTTAATATTTTTGAGGGGTGAAATTGGATATCTTAAGTTGTTGCGAAGGCCTGGATACTAGATAAGATTTGGCCTGGAGTGAAGATAAGATCACAGTTAAGTACATCATAAGGCTGGAGCTGCTAAACAAAACACTTGGTGATGGGCTTTTAGGTTGATGCCTTCATCTTTGGTTTTGCTCATCCCGTGCTGGTTAGGAATACAAAGCCATCAGCCTGATTCTCCAACAGAGGTTGGGAGTCAGGGCTCCTGTACATCATGTGAAGGAAGAGTTTGAGCCCATTGTTCCTGGCTCTTCTGTGATAGGCTCAAAGGATGTGCATGGAATCTACCAAAGTCCCCTGTGTTTGGCTGAAATTTACTTTTACTATATATAGGTCCTTTATCTACATATATGACATCTTTGGCATTTATACTCATATGCCAATTATGTGCTTCGACTTCCATAATCAATTCTTGTAATTTTATTAGGAATTAACTATCCACTCAAATCAACAGGTTTTTCTTTTCTTTCTTTTTTTTTTTAAGATGTTGGGGGGTAGGAGTTTATTAATTAATTAATTAATTTTTACCGTGCTGCGTCATCGTTTCTGTGCAAGGGCTTTCTCTAGTTGTGGCAAGCAGGGGCCACTCTTCATCGCGATGCCCGGACCTCTCACTATGGTGGCCTCTCTTGTTGCGGAGCACAGGCTCCAGACGCACAGGCTCAGTAGTTGTGGCTCACGGGCCTAGTTGCTCCGCGGCATGTGGGATCCTCCCAGACCAGGGCTCGAACCCATGTCCCCTGCATTAGCAGGCAGATTCTCAACCACTGCGCCGCCAGGGAAGCCCCAACAGGTTTTTCTTGGTCTTCTATTTTTACATACGAGCAACATACTAACTGAAAGATAAAAGTTCCTATCCTCAGTTTTTAGGCATCTAAATGTCCACAAATTACTAATTTGGATTGATTGATTATTTTTAACCCACAGACTTATTTGACTTGCTAGAGTGGATGGCAAAGATGAAGAATAATCAACCAAGGACATGTCAAGTTGAAAAGAAAATTGAGTCTAACAGGAGAACTGACAGAAGATGAAGATGAAGTGACATAACTGGAGCTTTATTTCTGACTCATGTTTTTTTTTTCAGTAAATATCTAGTAGAAAAACTTTGGGAAAAAGTGGGGCTTAATACATCAGTGTTTCTTAAAGGCTAGGAAAATTGCTACCCCTGGGAAGCCAGAAGGATATGATGACACAGTCTGTTGTAATGTGAGACTGAATGACCCATATTTCCCCTGCAATGAAGTTCTTTTCCACTGGTAGAAGTCTTTTTATGTGGAAGTCTAATTGATCACCTATTAGCTTTTATTTTTACATGTTTCTCCCTGCCTTTCTTACTTTGAAGACAAAGACTTTGTTTCAGATTTCTTAAAAAAAAATCAAAATGACACAACGACAATAAAAAAGTCTACCAACAAATAGTAATACCTCAAGAAATTAAGCAGCTCCTTTATTCTTTAAAATTCCAGTTGAATTCTAATTATACCATTTCATTACAAATTTATACTCTGGAGACTCAAACTCTGCTCATACGTTACCTCACTCTGAGAGCAGAAACTGCTCATTGCTACCCAGAGACCCAAGGATTGGTTGGCAGCTCATCCTGATTACAGATAAACTGAAATCCACAAAAGGCAAAACGTGTGTAGTTAGTCAATTAGGAGTGAAATGTTAAGTTTAGACCTTCAGGGGTAAGTCTTCCCAGGGGAAGAAAATTAAGGGCACCTTGGACCTATGCAGAGTCCAATGCTGAAATTTGAGTGTACACTATAGAACTTGGAAATCAAGACTTGAAATGTTAATACCTTTCATTTGAAAAAAAATCCCATCCCAGAAAGCGATTATAAAATAACCTGCATTCAAAACTAGTTATTTCTAATATTTAACAGTAAAAGTCTAGCAAGAATGAAAGCCAAGATTGAGAGGCTGGAAGTCTTTGTTATGCCACATGGTTGGATGTCTGACCGTTTGACCACAGAGACCAAATACAGAACCAAGCCCGAAGATGAGGTGGCCCTTTACTAAGCTACCAGTGCAAAGTCCTCGTGACTTCCTTGTTTTTCTTTTCTTTTTTCTTCTTTCTCCAGATGATGTCTGAGTACAGAGGATCCAAGCAAGGGAGAAAGAAGCATATTGCAGTAGAAGTGTCCCTTTTTTTTTTTTAATCTGTCAATTTACATTTTGATGGGATTGAAATCAGTCAATTAAAACTGAAAATTTAATTCAAAGAAAAATCAGACAAAATAGTTGTTTAAATGCATCTAAATACCTGACCCACTCATTCATGGCACTTTTTACTTTTAACCTCTAATTTTAGGTTTCTGGAATCTCATCTCTGGGCCATAATTTCCTGTTAAGTGGGAAAGAGAAACAAAGATGGCTTGTCGTGAGGATCAATGACTGAATCTCTGCTATGCTGTCTGGGGCCATTGGCTACTGGGTGCCATGTCAGTACAATGTATTTTATCACTTAAATAAGACATGATTTGCCGATTACACTGATTTGCTGCTTGTTACGTTGTGGTTTCTCAAATGGAACATGACATTTTTGAATGGCTGCACTGAGAAGGCCTCATGCATTGGAAATATGTCAAAATGCAAAAAAGATTTTTGGGTCAAAATCCTCCGTTAGCTTGACAATTGTTAGTTGGGTGTTGAGCATGAATCTGTTTCAGTCAGATTCATGCCCAGATGTAATCAAACAATTTTGCCTGAATCCTTTTGTTAGCATGTTAACACGAGAGGATTTTGTACAGAGTAATAATAAGTACGTGTGCCTAGAAAATGCTAAGTTTCAAACCAGAAGCAACTTTAGAGCTATTTATGGAATATTTTGTTATAATATGATTTATGGACTTGTACAAGTATTGGATTTTAAGACGCTACATATTTATTTTGTGTGTAGTGCAATAGATCAGATGATTGAGTCTTCCAAATTTGGCTGAAATAGGTATGCAAAATGAACATACAGTAAGATTTCTCAATCTTATGTTACATCATTGTACCATATACAATAGAAGTATGCAAGATTCTTAATTTTGATCACATTCAAATTAGCAGTGATGTAAATACTGTGAAAAAACGTAAGAAACGTAGTGCAAGAGAAAAACTGTAAACATACCAGGGCATTATTTTCCTGTCAATGTTACCACATTATACAATTAAAAAAGGTTTAATAACTAAAACGACTAATATCTAACTACATTAATGTGAGTTTTAAAAATTAATTAATTAATTATATTTTGGCTGTGTTGGGTCTTCGTTGCTGCACGTGGACCTTCTCTAGTTGCGGTGAGCAGGGGCTACTCTTCTCTGCAGTGCGTGGGCTTCTCATTGCGGTGGCTTCACTTTGTTGCGTAGCATGGGCTCTAGGCGTGCGGACTCTAGAGCACAGGCTCAGTAGTTGTGGCTTTGTTTCTCCACAGCATGTGTGATCTTCCCGGACTAGGGCTCGAACCCATGTGCCCTGCATTGGCAGGTGGGTTCTTAACCACTGAGCCACCAAGGAAGTCCTAATGTGATTTTTTAAAAAGAGAATGAAGATCTAAAACAACCTGCCATAAAATGATCAACAGAAAAAGAAAAAAACTTCCTGAAAAATTGAAGACAATAACTTCCTGTGCACGGAGATTGTATTTTAAACTTTTTTTTTTGGCGGTACGCGGGCCTCTCACTGTTGTGGCCTCTCCTGTTGCGGAGCACAGGCTCCGGACGTGCAGGCTCAGAGGCCATGGCTCACGGGCCCAGCCACTCCGCGGCATGTGGGATCTTCCCGGACCGGGGCACGAACCCGTGTCCCCTGCATCGGCAGGCGGACTCTCAACCACTGCGCCACCAGGGAAGCCCTGTATTTTAAACTTTACAGCTTCAACCCCATGATTTTTACAGCTGCATTAAAGGTTCAGTTCTGGGTCAGAGGTTTTAGCCACATTTTCTGTTTAATGGAAGAAGACTTGAAATGTGGGAACATCATGATATGACACCATTTCACAGATAATCTGAATCCAGATTACTTGCCCCAGTGTTCCCATTCTTATAGAACAAAATATACATGAGCACACTTGCCCAGGACTTGCTCTCTTAATCACAGATGTCTTCGTGGATAATTTCCACAGTTGTGATGGAAGAGACAGGACGAGCACGCCTCTGTGTGTGTGCGTGCATGCGGTGTGCGCGCTCACAGGTCAGGTCAGTGTATCCATATATGTGGGCTCGTGTGTACATCCATGCCGTGTCTACACACTCAAAGTCACATTCTTCTTGAGTGAATGTACAAATCTGTCCTGGCTTGAATGAAATGAGAATTCACCTTTTGCACATTTAGCCAATCCTAGCCCATTTATTCTCTGCCCCAAATAAACGCTCTAAATTCTGCCAAAATCCAGACGTTACCTGTGTAACACTGAGTTGTATGAGATTTGTTTCAATACTGAGGGCATCCTTTACATGTTATCAGAGTATCAAATTTTGTTCCTGCTTCAAGGAATCGTCTGTGTTTGAATTCCTTATCCTCAGCTCCACCTGTTCTTCGGAGTCCCATCCAACCTCACGGACTGGACTTCAATATAGGAGCACATTTCCGATTGTTATGGAGCTGAATGTTTCTTTTGTGTTCACTGTAATCGACAAGCATGTACTTAGCTTGAGAGAGACAGCCATTATTCTCAACAGTCTTATTCTGTTCTTGAAATACCTGTGGCAGTTCCTTTGCGGACAAGGTATTTTAATAAGGAATGAAATCACTGAAAGGAATATGTGTCCATAATAAAGAACGGAGGATGTGGGACCCACAGAGTCCCCTGGCTTCAGAAAGTTACTTCGAAAACATTGTCCAGAGTGAAGTTTTAAAACTTTCATTTTTACGTGAATGACTCGTGGGTCCTGTTAAGATACAGCCTCAGATACTCTAAGTCCAGCTGGAGCGAAATTACTAATAAGCTCCTGGATGCTGTTGATACTGCTGGTCTGTGAACCCATTTTGAATAGAAAGGGGCTAGTACATTCCAACCAAAACAAATTAGTGTGAACAATCACATCAGCTCCATCTGTACATGTATTCACAACGATGCATTCCTGATTTGATCAATTTCACTCTGTACAATTACATTCACCGAAAAAGGTAAAAACAGAATTATCATATTTTGTGAGTACAGAGTCCCTTTGCCCCTTTTTATGTATTACCAGATAGCCTTCATTATAAATACCTTTTTCTCTGCTTGAAAAAATGAGTGTGCTTTAGAGCAATGATATAAGTGGGTACTGAGCCACGTTTCAGCTCTCGGCCATCTCCTCTCTGATACTTGGATTGAATAAATACATTTTATTATAGCTGACATCCTTGTATGGAAATGCATTTCCTTTCACTACCAGCATTGTGAAATATCTGTCCATCCAGATTGTTTCAAGTAGCCTCCACCAAGTTCTTTGAAATGCAGCCCGCTTTTAGAAAATTTGAATTTGGGGAGTTTGCTTCACACAAAGCATTTAAAAAGGGAACCCTCCCAGATGTGGAATGCTTGTTTAGACACCAGATCAAAGGAACAGGTCTGTACATCTGTGCAGTTTTTCAGAGTGCGTCCACACATTTTTGTTTTCCCGGTGACCTCTGGGTTTGAAGGGAGCTCAGATGTGGAAGCAGCTCAGAGTTAAGTCGAGGCGACACCACTGCCGTCAGACGTTGCTCTGTTGCAACAAAAGCGTTCTCAGCTCTCTTTCCCTCTGATCTTCCTGCCTGTACTTCTCCTCAAGTTTCTGCTTCTCAGAATCCGTGCAGTAAAAGGTGCAATCTGGGCTCTTCCGGATCTGTTCGAACTGACTGAAATCAGCCACGTACTTGCCGGTTTTTGAGAGAGAAACCACAGGCACAAACTCAAAACCCCAGTAGATCTCCTCTGGGATGTAAGAGGTGCGGCTCTGGCAGACAGCGCTGGTGGACTCCACCGTGGCGTTCAGGAGAACCACCAGCTCAAACTCCTTCTGCTTAAGGTTTTGGGGGGTGAGATCTCTCAGGGGGCTCGTCTCATCCAGCACGTGGTAGAACGTCATGGGCAAGATGAGGAAGGGGCTCTCGGAAGAGGAGTCCACGTGGAATTTGACGGTGGCCTGGTTGAGGAGGATTCGCTCCCCCTCCTTGGTGACATGGGTCTGGAGGAGCTTTCCCGAGAGCTGGCACTGAATCAGGAGACTCTTCCTCATGTTGGCCACCTGGATCACCAAGCACAGCTTCCCATTCTGCTTGGTGATGACGGCACAGTGGCTGAACTTGATGGTCTCTGCCCGCTTTTTGGGTCTCGCAATTTTGGCCAGGAAGGTGCCCGTGATGAAGATCTCAATCAAGGTGGTGATGACCAGCTGTGCCACCAAGAGGAAGATGGCATGAGGGCATTCCTCCGTGATGGAACGGACTCCATAGCCGATGGTTGTCTGGGATTCCAGGGAAAAGAGAAATGCCCCCGTGAGGGAGTCCACCTTCATGATGCAGGGGGTGTGATTTGAAGTGTGCTCCCTGGGTTCTAAGTCCCCATGAATGAAGGCAATGGCATAGTAGATCACACCAAAAAGGAACCAGGTCATCACGAACGTGGCAGCAAACAGGGTGAGCTTGTATCTCCACTTCATGTCGATGACGGTGGTCCACAAGTCTTGCAGGTAGAGCAAGTATATGCCATCCACTTTGTCGATTCTCACGTTGCTGTGCCCACTCTTGGACATGACTCGGGGTCTGCTGGCCTTGAGGCCAGCTCCAGCCGTGTGCTTCACCAGGGTAGCCCTGGCCATACTGATGTTAATCCGTTCCATGGTCAGGCCTTGGGACCACCTAAGGAAATGACAAAGAGAGACGTTCCATTGTTGTCACATGAGGTAGAATGCCCAGAAAACAGAAACAGGATAATCATGTAAGATAAGTACGAATGTACATGGACGTTTATAAGAAAGGATAATTCTGAGGGCAAGATGAATCACTGGGTACTTGAGGATGGCAGTAGGAGGGAGTGAAGAGCACAGACTGAAGACAGGGAAGCCTGGGTTAAATGTTGCCTCTCCCACTTATTTGCTGTGAGGCCTGGGCTAAGCTATTCAACCTTTCTGGACCTCAAATCTCTAATATGTAAAATATGGAAATAAAGTCTACTTCTCAGGGTTCTTGTGATAGTTGAATGAGATAATGGCTATAAAGTGCCAAAACAGAAATTCACACTCAAAAAAAATGATGCTAATCTTCTCTTTGTGATATCACACTCACAAGAATCCACCCCACGGAGTATTATGATTATTTATGTATATTCAGCTCTTACGGATTTCCAAGTATAGAAAATTTAAAAATAAGTTGACTGAGCATAGGGCCAGTACTGATATAATTAAAATGCACCATCCATAAGATACGTCTTGATACAGCAATGGGAAATGTTAACACAAATTTTAAAACCGTGTGTAGTATTCATAAACGTTTTTAAAAAGCTACCATTTGCATGACATTCCCTGTAGTAGCAATTCATTTTCCCCCTAGTCCAATGAATAATTGGGAATCCATGACCTGTCCTAGTTCTTGATTACAATGGAAAAGAGCAAGTTATCAAACAACCAAAAACAAACATAGAGTGAATAATTAAGCTTTATTAACGGCTTGATCAATATGCTCGTTATTCTCAGAAAAGTGTTATCAATATAGAATATTAGGTGTGACATTTAGGTATGGTGCAAAAATTTGGCCTTACTTCTTTTGAAGTAGAACCAGCATAGGAATCTATTTTAAAGAGCCAATGAACAAGTAAATAAGTACAGGCATCCAACATTGTAGCAGAACAGACTTACCTAGAAGAAGCACTAGGCTCCCACACTGAGCCCTGGGCAATGCTCTGCCCTCCGTTTACAGATAGGGACAAGCTGGGTATGAGGTCACACAGCATCTTATAGTACCTGCCTGGCGACTGACATAAATTACCCCTACATTCCTTGAAAAACATAATGTGAGTGATTATAGGGCAATTCTACCTGGTTGGTATGTTTTTTCCACCTCATCGGCATTTTAAGAATAATAATAAAAAAATTTCTCCCTTTAAAAAGGAACTGGTATAGGGTGGTCTGTGATTCACGCAATAATCTCTGCTGTTGGGGCAGTGTTATCTCAATAGAAGTTTCTAAAGTAATCCTTTGGGCAAATCCCTTCAAGGAATCTGAAACTGTATCCATTATAGGATAACACCTGTTGAGGATGCAGTAAATCTGTTGGGCTTTTTAATTTTCCTGTTATGTTATTAAGAGTGTGTCATTTACTGACTGACCCTTGAAATGATTTTTTTTTTTTCCTCAGAAAGGAGAGTCACCGTTTCATTTTCTTTGCAAAGAAGGGCCCTAAGTTATTCAGAATTTATTTTACTTGTTGAAGCCTATTCCATTTATTTGGGTATCAATTTAGATGTAAAGTACAGGATATAATTTAGCGTGGGCTTCATCAGACCCTTTATGCAGCACTTCTCAGTAATCAAGAGGAAAGCGACCACAATGAAAGCTTGAAAAGGTTAATGCCATGCTGGCATGCCCAAATGCATAGTCAAGCTCAGAGCACTTTGCCAAGACAAATGCAGCTTATGGACAAGTAATTGCATGCACTTCAACAAACAAAAAGAAACTGGTAGGGGAAAGTACATGCCATTCAACCCACTGAAATAAAAACAGAAGCTTAAGTTTTCTTGTGTGAATGATGCAGAAGTGTCCTGCAGCACACGCTAAGCTCCAAGCTCAGCCTTCCACCAGATTCTGGGAAACTTGGCCCTGTTTCTATGAAGGCAGTGTCATGAAGCTTCTGTTTTAACCTCTGTTTCAAAGGGGCAGTGGGCCAGGCTCGCGATGAGCTGAATCTTTCCCCTCTTTCTGCTGAAAGTTCTTGGGCTGCAGTTTTACACAACTATTGTTGGAATCAGTGACACCAATGGCTATCAGAGGATGGGGGGCATATACGGGGAAACAAAACTTAGAGTCTCTGGGTGGGGTGGGGGTATTGGGATTAGCATCTCTCTGTGGAAAAGAGCGGCTGGTGGACAGCACTCAAAGGTTAAATACCCACTCCCTCCCTCTCAACATTCCTGTGCCCTCAGAACTGGGTGCTACCTGGTCACTCACTCGGCAGGTCAAATGGCGACTTCTTCAAAGCAGGTGTATCGTCCTTGCTCCCCTTCGCCCACCTGGCTACCATAGGATTCTTCTACTTCCTGAAAGAAAGAGGGACACATGGAGTTCACAGCTGTTTACTAAGAAACTGACCCAGTGAAACTGACCCTTACTGATTCCCCCAAGTGCTAGGGCCCCAGCATTCACCTTCCAACCCCTGGTGATCTGGCATAGTGCCCAGAATAGATCCAAGCTCAAGGAGTGTTTTAGGAATGAAATTGAAGCCCCAATCACAGCCCTCACTGTAGAATTCCCACCCTCTGGAGGGAGCTCAATAGTAAAACACCCTGGAAAGGGTGGGTTAACTCACCCCCACTGAAGCCCACTATCAACTGACCAGCAAACAGGGAGGCAGGAAGGGGAAGTGCAGAGGAAGTAAACAGTGAGAATTGGAAGGGAAGAGTCTAGAATATTTTTACCGCCTGTGGAAATGCATTATTGCTGTTGAGTCATAGAACATTAGATTCAAAAAGAATGTCAAAACCAAGGCATTTGACACACGTTTTTCAAACCAGGAGACCTGGGAGGTTGCAGTGACTTGTCTTCTTCACACAGATGGCCCATAGCAGAAAGAACGGGGTCCAAAGTTTTTGGAAGCTAGACTGGAGTTCTTGTCAGTACACAAATCCCTCTTAAACCTCCAAAGTTTAATGCAATCTGTTCTAACTCCACTAGATTCTTTTGCATGCTACTTTTCTGAAATACTTCTTCCTAAACTATACATATATATCTCCCCACATTTTTATCTGTCTTATACACAGAGGCTTAGTACACGTCACACTTCTTTTCTGATCCACTAATTATTGTAAATAATTACAATAATTACTCTTTTATCATTTAGGTAGTCTCAATTATCAGTCCGTATAGCCTTTTATATATTGGATTCTCCCAGTGTGTTCACAGTATGTTTGGCAAACGACATCTACATCATCGCTCTATTAAGATCCAGCATCTTCTTCTTTGCACCCATTTATTTTTACCTGTATGCTTTATCTTTTACACTTTATTATATGCTCTTAATTTATAGTATTTCATTCCTCAGCAGACTTCCTTAATGCAATTTACTTCATTGCACACTCTTCTTTCATATAATTTTATGTTACTGCTTTAGATGTTTTTTCCCTTAGATTCTGCAATCTACCTGGTTTCACTTCTAAAATATTAAGGGACCATAATCATTTCCCAAAAGTAAAGGAAGGAAAGAATAATAAAAGATATTCTCTTCTAATTTTCCCTCTCCTAGTCCTGCAAAGAAACAATATTCCATATGAATCATTAGTAGTTTTCTATAGTCTCTGGAAACTGTATTTATTTCTCCAGTTTTCATCATATGATTCCAACATGTGGGTTGGGATTGTATTTCTTAGAATGGTGATATCTTTACTGAAGTGAAGTCCTTGAAACTACTGAATGGAGAGATCAATATTACACTCTCCTATTTCAGGCCAGTAACATATACATGGAATGAAGTCACTTAGTGCTTAGGCTGTGTAGCATTTGTTTTCTGGAGATAAAGGGGAAAAGAAACACATTTTGGAAACAGAACAGTAACCACATTGAAAAAGATACTTATCTATATGAAGAACCACACTTCCAGTGCTGGGGACAAAACAATGAGAATGGAAAAAATGGAAAGGAAGTTCCCATCACCATCGCTGGTGGAAGGGGAAGAATTCTATCCAAGAAAGGGGATCTGGTAAGAATGGAAGACCAAAGAAATTAATTACTGCGAGCTGGAGGATGCTGTCCTGTCAGAGAGAAATCAACCTGTAAATGGACAGAAAGTCCCTGACCAGTTAGGAGAAATACATATGCAAATACTAAGCAAGAACAGAGTCAGGATAGAGCCAGAAATGGTCCAAAGTGGGAAAGGTCCAGATAATAAAATGACAATAATAAAATAAAGATTCAGATAAGTGACAATAATACAAAAGCTTCAGATCACTAATAACAATAATCATCATCATAAATAGATAGCGCTAGAGCCATGTACCAGCCACTATTCTAGGTGCTTTCCATGTGTGAATGTAATTAACCCTCACACCATCCCCATGAGGAAGAAATGGAGCCACAGAGAGGTTGTGTGACTCACCCAAGCTCTCAACAGCTGGCACCTGGCAGTGTGTGAAGCTGTTGTATCTACACTCTCAACCACTCTGACAAGGGTGCTCAGACTTTAGCTGCATCAGAACCATCTGGAAGGCTTGGAGTTTCTGACTCGGTAGGTTTAGGGTGGAGTCCAAGAATTAGCATGTCTAAAAATTCCCAGGTGATGCTGCTGTTGCAGGAACACACATTGAGAACCACCACACTGGGATATAGATGTTGAATCATATCAGCAGCCTAACGGCTTCCCCCCTTGATAAATCTCCGATTCCCCATTTGCCCTTAGCATTTCTGAAATAACGCTATTGCACGCAGACATGGAGAACATCCGTTTATTACTTTTCAGAAGCTTCACCATCCTTACAGATAAATGAATGCCAATGACCCAGTGGCCCAAGGCTAAGTATTAATTTTTTAAAAAGCAATATATGGAGAATCTGATCAAAACTGTAACACATTATTTATATTTATCATATAAATATCATATAAGTATTATGTGTTATAGGATATGTAGAAATTATATATTATTTAACTTAGATAACACTTACAGTAAACACATAGATATTATGATACATTATTCATATTATATTAATATATGATATAAATAATGTTAGTAGATGTATTAGCCAAAATTAAGCACAGACAAGTCTCTCATTTCCACAATAGACTTTCACCCACCATTCTTCTAGTCAACCTGTATTTACAGGATATTTAATTCTCAAAAATGTGATAACACAGCTAACTTTCATGTGATGCTTGGCTGGGAAAAAAATAAATATGCTTTAAGAATGATTTTTTTTCCCCTCCTAGTTAGTACAAAACTGAGACCTTCTAAAAACGTATAGCTCTGTTGAGTCAAATTTTGGAAGTTTTCAGTTCACCCATGCTGGGAAAAACTTCTGTGTTCCATGGTGGGCTAACAAAGTCTATGCACCTGTGGAAAAATAATTTAAAAATGGGGAGACAGTGGCTCCCTAAACCTGGAATTTCTCAACCAGGCCTCAAGTGATGTCATCCTACATACCTTCAAATGGGCGGTGAGGCATGGAAGAATGAAATCCAAATCCAACCATAACTCTGGATTTCTAGACTAAAATTAGAATCTGAGGGACTTTGACTTGAAAACTCTGGCAAAACAGCTCCCTCTTTGTAAGAAAAGTTGCTTCTAAAGCTTTGTTGGATGTCAAATATTTTTGACAAAACAATCTTTTAATGATCTCTCTTTTTGCTATGAATCTGAAATACCTGGCTGAAATTTCACTTTAAGGGTACATGGGTTTAAATATTAAGTAGAAAAAAAGTGCTTGACAAGCATCTAGTTGGGGTTCACTGAACTCAAAAGGTTTAAAAATAATGGAAAATAAACTCAGTGAGGCTTAGCTATCCTTTCTTTGGATCCTGTGACTGTGGCCGTACATACACATGCACTGGGGCCTTTGGCACTGGCCTCGTGCCACCTTCTACCTGCTCTTCAAAGCAGCCTAGGACTCGCTTCAATGGCTGGGCTCCCTGTTCTGAATCCACTTCTTGACTTCATCCGTGTCAGCTGAGGACACAGATGGCTTTGCCCAGGTGGCCGCAGAACTGGACACGTTCATTAAAGAGAACAAGGTGGCCAAAGCTGACTCTCGGCAGATTCCAAAGGGTGGCCCTTTGGTTTTCTCTGTTGGGGAAATTACTCTTTCCTTCTGCAAACCCATGTTTTCTCTCGGACCATTGAGGACTGAGGTTGGCTGGAAGGAGTGGCAGCTTTTGGGAGGCTGTGGAGTTGGACATTCTTCTTTGTGAGGAACAAGAGGCTCTGAGGGGAAGCGCCAATGAAGGTAATGGCAAATTCACAATCTAGTTTCCTCTATCCTAATGACCTGTATTTTGAAGACATGAACTTGGAACCTCATTGGTAGAGCCGTGGTCATTTTGGGTTGTCGTGGCTGATTGTTGCTTCCACCTACTATCTGCCCCTCTCTGTGGGGTCCATCCATGAGATTCTTCCCTGGGTTTGTCCCTGCAGGGAAGTATGTTTTCACGCTTTTGTGTTAGATGTGGTCATGTGACTGCTTCGGCCAATGGTGTGTGAGCTGCAGTGACTCAAGCCTCACCTGAACAGAGACATAAGAATGACACGGTTCTGTCACTGCTCTCCAGTGAGGCTCAGATTGGGCTGCTCCTTCCTCTGGATGGCAGTGGGGGGTAGGGGGGAGGTGGGGGACACTTGGAGCTGAGCTACAGCTGAACCAAAGCTGACTTGTAACCCAGGTGAGAAAAAACTCTTGTTGCCTGGTTGAATTCTTGGACTTGTTTGTTACTAAGGCAAAACCTAGTGAAAGTCTGACCGCGGTGATGCTCTTACTACATATTTTTGGATTAAATATCTGACCTAAAAGGAACTGTATTTAAAGAAAACATGTAAAGTCTTGAAATATCCCTCAAGGTAAACCTCAAATGGTAGTTTATGGCTAAACACTGAATAGAAAAATAAATACAAATCTCACAGGATTTCAGTGGGAAGAAAGACTTGCCTGATCCCTAAGGACAGCAGAGAAAAAGTGAATAATTCTTCTCATTCAATTACTTCTGAATCAGTACTTAAATTTATCACGACAAGACAACTTTTCAGGGCAAGATATAAGGGCCTCAGATTCTGTCACTCTTATTTCTGTGGAGCAAGAAGCCCTTGGTTAATGTTCTGGTGGCCTCATAATCTGTGATGACAAACACATAGGGGATTATGTCATTAATTAAACATTATGTCATTAAAAGGGACTAGCCCTTTTCAGACAGACAGACAGCTGAAAAATCCCAGCTCTTGGGATTACAGACAGTATTTTATTTAAGCCTTCTCTTTACCTTCTGAAGAGAGAGTTTTCTTGATTTTCTAAATGAGGAAACTAAGCTTAGAGAGATTCGATAATCTACACATGTTCATAAAGTTAAC